GGCAGTGTTCACAGCCAGGTTGGATGAGCCTTGAGCAACCTGCTCTGGTGGGAGGTGTCCCTGCCCAGGGCAGGGGCTTGGCACTAAGCTCTGTTCCATCCCCTAAGAATTCTATGATACTGTGAAGACAACACTTATCTTCTACCAAGAGAAACCATCCAGGAGCTTAGAGTGTTGGAGGAGTGACCATTGTCATCTGCCATAGATTTGTCCCTGTCCCTGCTTTGCCATCAAGCAGGTCCAAGAAACCCCTCTCACCTGTGTCTCCCACCTGTGCCCTGGGGCTGAGCTCTCCTGGAGTTTGCCTTACCATGGTACATGTGACAGGGATGTCACCAGCAGTGGGACAGGAGAGAATGAGCCCAGGCCACGCTCCTCAGAGCTCCCCCACCCTCCCTGCTGCAGCAGCAGGACACATCTGCTGACCAGATGTGCATGTTTCCCTCATATCCCAGGGAATCTCTGTGAAGTTCTTGGCCAGCTCTGCTGTTAGAGCCTCACATGGTGCTATGACCTCGAGTCTACCCTGGCCATGACTCAGCTGAGCTGGGGAGGTGATAGTGGCTCATCCCCTGCAACCCAACAGGAAACAGTGACGGAAAAATCAGATCCCAAGCAAAGCCAAAGGGAAAACTCACCTCTCCTTGAGATTTGTGTTTTGTGCTGGCAGATCCAGTGTTTTCCTCCTAACTGTTATCTCTGAGGGATAAAAACATAGTGGACTCTCCTCAATTTGTTTGATTTCACATTTCTTTCCATCCAGAGGAGCTTCCCCATGGATGGTGTGTGCTGGGGCTGGTGGTTGCTCTTTGCTTAGCCATGTTTTACATCACATTGGAGTAGTGGGAACACCTCAGCCATGATTGAGAGAGCTGGGGGTGTCCAAACTGGAGAAGAGAAATGTCCAGGGAGACCTGAGAGACCCTTTCACTGCCTAAAGGGGCTCCAAGAGAGCTGCAGAGGGACTTGGGACAAGGCCTGGAGGGACAGGACACAGGGACTGGCTTTCCAAGGGTAGGTGGGATATTGGGAAGGAATTGTTCCCTGTGAGGTGCTGAGGCACTGGCACAGGTTGCCCAGAGCAGCTGTGGCTGCTCCATCCCTGGGAGTGTTCCAGGCCAGGTTGGATGGGGCTTGGAGCAACCTGGGCTGGTGGAAGGTGTCCCTGCCCATGGCAGGGATGAGATGACTTTAAGGTCCTTCCAACCCAAACCATTCTGGGATTGTATGACATCCCACCCCACCCTGCTTGGCACTTGGATCTCTTCAGTTTGTCTTTGACAGCTCTGCAGGAAGCAAATGATCTCCTGTAAACATCAAAGTTTTATGGGATGCTCATGCAGGGTGTGATGCCTCCAGAACTGCTCCAGACCTACACGTGTATATATAAAAGGCAAATAATTATATATCCTGCACAGATTTTATGCCTCTAAATTTCATTTGGCTTGGAAAGAAGATGCTTTGCCCAAGAGCAATGTATTAGAAACAGACAACACCAACCATACACTGATGTTCCCAGTTTTCCCTTCTGCTCCCTGCCACGCTGCTCCCAGCAGGGAATGGGCACAGAGGGCATTATTTGAGCTGGTGTGGCTGTGTGTAACCTCAGGCAGAAGCTCTGACCTCACTGCTCTCCTTCCAGCTCTGAGGTACAACACCACCATCGACGAGCGCAGGTACACACCACGCGCTCACCTGGACGAGAGCGGAGAGAGGCAGGCACAGAGGGGGCTGGTCCTGCCAGCTGGGCAGGAGCACTGTGAGAAGCTCCACTTCCATGTCTTGGTGAGTGTGGAGAAGGTAAAGATTGGGGTGTCCACCTTGAGCGCTCACCAGGGGAGCTGAAGATGTTCTCCACAGAGATGTGGTTGGAGGAGCATCGATGGATTTATAGGGTGGAAATGAGCTTCATCCTTCAGCTTGGATTCCTCCATGCTGGGGTTGATGTGGTCAGGGATGGAGTTGCCAGCACGTGGCAGCTGTTGGGTCCCCAAGCAGTGACTTCATTGCGGCTCCAGCTCAGCTCCATGAGCTTCTAGTCATGCCCTGAGGGAGAGTGTGCACTCCTGACCTTCTGCTCAGGCTGATCCTCCTGCTCCAAAAGCAGTGGGAACTCATTTTTGCCATCAGGAACCAAGTGCATCCATGCCAGTACCTGATGGTCTCACCCTCTAACCATCAGGGTCCCACTCCCTGGGTGCAGAGCTGGTGGAACCTTCTGCCTTACTCACAGGGAACAGCTGATCCACAAACCTGGCCAAAACCAAACATTCCCAGGGAATGAGGAGAAGATTGTGGAAGCCAGGGAGGACTGAGCTGCCAGACTGGCCCAGCTCCAAACCCCAGAGCTTGAACTGCAATGAACTTCTGGGAAATTTGAGGCTGGAGATGGAGACAGAGATGGTGATTTAGCCCAAGAAGTATCTCACTGCAGATTGTCTCCTGTATCACACGTGGTTGGGGCAGTGCATGGGAGGAGCTCCTAGACCTTCCTTACGAGCTGGATGAACCTAGATAGGGTCTGCAGGACCTTGAGGGAGTCACCCTGTGGTGCTGCCTCTCCTGAAGCAACAGCACTGTCCTCACTGTTTTCCATCCACCACAGGACACAGCTGACTACGTGAAGCCAGTGACGTTCTCCATCGACTATGAGCTGGAGCAGCCTGAGCATGGCCCCATGCTGGACGACGGTTGGCCAACCTCACTCAGGGTCTCGGTAGGTAGCAGCAATGACCTCCTACAGTGCCTTTTATCAAGCACCTGGTCAGATTTAGCTCTGATTGTAACATTTGCTGCTGTGTCTTGGGGTGGTCATCCATGATCCAACCCATGGTAGCAACGGGCTGGGGAGTCGCTGCAGCTTGGGATCACAACCTGTGTCCCTTCTCCTTGGAGCACAACCTGAGGCACAAATCATCACTGACTTGCTCTTGTTGTCCTGCTCTTGTGGTCCCTCTCAGGTCCCTTTCTGGAATGGGTGCAATGAGGATGAACACTGTGTCCCTGATCTGGTCCTGGATGCCAGGAGTGATGTCCCCAGTGCCATGTGAGTTGGTCACTCTGAGCATCCTCCAACCAGTATCACACAATGGGGGAGGCTCCAAAGCCCAACCCATGCTCCATAAGTCTGCCATCAGAACTGGTGCTTCATCCAGCACCACCATGGTGTTCATCAACCCCACAATGAGGTGCTCCTCAGCTCTCTGGGTCTCTGAGCCTCTGCCTGCTTCCTGCCTGGAATAAATCCGTGGTTTTCCAGGGAATCTACAAAACAGCTAATATTTGGTGCCAGGATGAGTCCCAGGGAGACAAATGAGGAAATAACAGGGGGAAGAAGTAGCATTTCCCACCTGGCAATTACAGGCCTGACTCACCAGCAGAAATAATTATACACTAGAGCAACTTGGTTAAAGAGCTTTGAGAGGTTATCTGGTGAGTCCAGAGGAGGACATGGAGATGCTCCAAGGGCTGGAGAACCTCTGCCATGGAACCAGGCTGGGAGAGCTGGGGGTGTCCAGCCTGGAGAAGTCTATGGGGAGTGCTTAAAGGGGCTCCAAGAGAGCTGTAGAGGGACTTGGGACAAGGGATGAAGAGACAGGACACAAGGAATGGCTTCCCACTGGAAAAGGGGAGATTTGGGTGGGATATTGAGAAGGAATTGTTCCCTGTGAGGGTGCTGAGGCACTGGCACCAGGTTGCCCAGAGCAACACCCTGGTAGTGTTCCAGGCCAGGTTGGATGGGGTTTGGAGCAGCCTGGGCTGGTGGGAGGTGTCTCTGCCCATGGCAGGGGGTGGGATGAGATGACTTTAAGGTTCCTTCTCACACAAACCATTCCATGATGCTGGAGTCTCTGCCCTGGAGCAAGGCTGGGAGAGCTGGGAGTGTCCAGCCCAGGGGAAGAGAAGCTCCAGGGCCCCTAAAGGGGCTCCAAGAGAGCTGCAGAGGGACTTGGGACAAGGGCCTGGAGGTCCTGGACAAGGGGAAAAGGTCCAACAAAAGGACACAGCATAAGGAGGCAGCCAGAGGGTCACAGCAGCCTCAGCACCACCAGCGTCACAGTCCCACCTGGGACATAAAAACCACATTTATCTTCCAAGCCTGACTGCTGCTTCCCTTTTTCCCTCTGCTTTAGCCTCCTGTTTCCCTCTGCCTCAGCCTGCTGGCACGAGCAGCCCTGGCTCACCACACAAATCTGCTTTCAATGAGCATAAGAAGGTGCTTCACTCTCCCCCATGTACATCAAGTACAAAGACCTTGAGCTCTGAATCACACACACCATTCCATGATGCTGGAGTCTCTGCCCTGGAGCAAGGCTGGGAGAGCTGGGAGTGTCCAGCCCAGGGGAAGAGAAGCTCCAGGGCCCCTAAAGGGGCTCCAAGAGAGCTGCAGAGGGACTTGGGACAAGGGCCTGGAGGTCCTGGACAAGGGGAAATGTGTCATTCCTCTTTCCACAGCAGGACAGAGGGAGGGTTGGGATGTTCCTGCGCTCCCCCGTGGGCCGTGGCTACCAAACCTCTCCTCTTGCAGGGAGTATTGCCGACGAGCACTGAGGAGGTCATCCCCAGACTGCTCAGCCTTCAGCCTCTCCTTTGACACCTCCATATTCATCATTGAGAGCAGCAGGAGGAGAGTGGCTGTGGAGGCAACACTGGAGAACCGAGGGGAAAATGCCTACAGCACCGTCCTCAACATCTCCTTCTCCAGGAACCTCCAGTTTGCCAGCTTGATCCCCAAGGTGAGGCCGCCAGGACATCCAAGGCTTTCCAGAGGTGCTTCTAATCCTGTCTGCATGAGCAAGCTGCATTCTCCAGCAGAGCTCAAAGCTGTCTCCATCCCTCATCCATCAGACATGTCTATGGGCTTAGTTTCTATGCACTTTGAGCTCTTCCAGCTCTTTATTTTGGAGCTACAAAAAACGGTTGAATTTGAACAGCCTCAAAGAAGGTCAAACAGTGCTGAAATTATTTCCCCTCTTTATTTTTCTGCTCCACTAGTTTAAAAATACTCCTTGCTCATAGCCAAGTTCCTGTCAGGGAGGGATTTTTCCAGCTGAGATAGAACTCCTGGAAGTAAGGGAAATGGGAATGTGGCCACAGCTCAGCATTAAGTTGGGTGATGCCACTTGTCTCCAGCTGTCCCATGGCTGAGTCCCAAAATTTCACCCCCACCACTTGGTTGGTCTTGCTGTGACTCCTTCCTTTTCCCAGTGAGGTTTGGGAAATGTGCTGATGCTGCTGAGCTCTCCCTCACCCCCCCCCCAGTGACTTCATCCCTGCCCACACATCCCTTCTCCTGCTTTTGTTTGTCTATGGAAACACTCTGCCAAGGGGAAAACTCTGCCAAAGGAAAATTGTGGGGCATTTTGGCCACAAAATAAGTACAATGCCCTATTTTTTGTGAGGGATTATTCCAAATGAAGTGAGGGGGAAAAGCCTGTGGTGGTGGGGAACAGAGAGCCTTGTGCAGAGTGGTTGTAGGTGATATCTGTAGATAGTTATGCCAACAGATTCCTTGGCTGCTGCTCCTTGGAAACAAGCAAATTGCCAATCCAAGGGGATGGATGTTTGTGGAACATCAGTAAGAGGAGCTGTGGCCCCAAAAAGTCCACACACTCAGCACATGAGCAGGAGGAAGCTCCAGGCTGTTGCTGGTGGCTCTCAAGGCTCATGCTGTGATGTTTCAGCTCCTTGGGTAGGACTTGTCCGGTGGGAACAGCTTGAACTGAGAGTTATGTGAAGTCTAACAGAGGGATAAAAGCTGGAATAGCTTGTAGTGTCATGGGGAGGGTGGACACCTGCATCCAGCTCAGACTGAGACCTTCGTGGGGCTCTAACTCAGGGATAAGAGCTGGAGTAGCTCATGGTGTCAAGGTGAGGGTGGACACCTGTGTAGAACCAGGCTACACCCTCTTGTAGGGATACTACAGCCTCTTGGAAGGTTGCTGCAATTGTAGCAGAGAAGGCAGAACAGGGTGGTGTCCTATTCCATCCCAGCTTGGGCTTTGTGATGGGCAGGAGCTTCTCCAGCCTAGCTGGGGAGCTGAAAGGTGTTCCAGCAGCAGGAAAGGAATTGTTGGGATGAGGAAATGAATCATTCATTGGTTTGGTGGTTGGTTCATTGGTTGGTTGTATCCTTCATCGGTTTGGTGGTCGGTTGGTTGTATCATTCATTGGTTGGTGGTTTGGTTGGTTCATTGCTTGGTTGGTTGCATCACTAACTGGTTTGGTGGTTGGTTCAATGGTTGAGTGGTTGGTTGTATCATTCATTGGTTCGGTGGTCTGTTCCTTGTTGATTGGTTTTAACATTCATTGATTTGGTGGTTCATTGGTTGGTTGGTTGTATCATGCATTGGTTTGGTGATTTGGTGGTTGGTTCATTGGTTGGTTGGTTTGTTGAATCATTAACTTGTATGGTGATTGGTTGTGTCATTCATTGGTTTGGTGATTGGTTCATTGCTTAGTTGGTTGTATCATTCATGGATTTGGTAGTTGGTTCACTGCTTGGTTGATTGCATCATTCATTGCTTTGGTGGTTTGGTGATTGTTCCATTGCTTGGTTGGTTGGTTGATTTTAACAATCATTGGTTTGGTGGTTCATTGGTTGGTTTGGTGGTTGGTTGGTTCCTTGGTTGGTTGTATCATTCATTGGTTTGGAGGTTGGTTCTTTGCTTAGTTGGTTGTATCATTTGTTCACTCATTCACTGGTTTGTTGGTTGGCTGATTGGTTGTTTCCCCAAAAGTTAAAGCCCATTTTGAGCCCATGGCTGTGTTTGCTGCTGGCATGAAAAACCAGGCCCTGGGACTCATTCCCAGTGTCATGGACTCCTCATGTCCCATTTCAGGATGACACAGACATCAACATTGAGTGCATGACTGACGACAAACACCCCAACAAGAAAGTGTGCAACATCAGCTACCCCTTCTTCAGAGCCAAGGCCAAGGTAAAGCTCTTCCCTGCTACCTATGGAGAACTTCATCCATGGGACAGGACTTCTCTGCCCCCAGCATGGCCATGGGGTCACATCCATCCACCTTTGGGTGACTTTGAACATGACTCTAAAGACAAACAGTTGGTTTCTCCCCTTTCCCTGCCCATTGTTGGTGTTTCAAAGAAGAGCTGGGATGGTTGGGATGGTTAGGATGGTGTCTTGGTGCTACGAGAGCCCCAACATCAAACCCAGCTCTGCCAGCTCACAGGATTGGACTCCAGTCCTTCAAAGTGACTTCATGGTGGCTTCAAACCACTGATGGTAACTTCCCTGAGCTCCTTTCTCACAGGGTGAGACACCCTTTCCTGCCTGGGAGGTTTACCATGCTCTGAGGTGCCTCTGGACCCTCCTCTGAGCATATCCAAGCCTCCTTGTGCTGGTGCATCCTCCCAGTCACAGCTCCCAGTGGTTTCCAGAACTTAGGATGAGCTCAGATCCAGTGAGCATCACTTTAGATGCCACAAAACCCTTTGGAGACATCACATGCAGAGTTAAAGTGGTGAAGGAAAAGTGAGGAGATCTTCTGGGGATCCGTGTCAGAAAAGGGCCCAATACAAGTGGGATATAAAGCTAAATTCTCCCCCAAGACCCCAAAGGTCTTGAAGCCTTTCCTTGTGAGAAACTTGAGGATGCTGGATGAGCTCCAGGCACCTCACTAGGCTTTCAAGCTCCCCCCACAAAAAGCCTTCTGAGATGCCTGTGGCTACAGGAGGACCTAGGAAGGCTGAGAATGCATCTGCATGGCATCAGGTAGTCCAGGTCCTGCCAAAACAAAGACAAGCTGGAAGTGGAAAATTATCCCTGGAGCAGCAGGAGTTTTAATATTCTACTCAGCTGTGCTGGCCCAGACAGTTTGAGGTCATTGCCACAACCCTGCAGATGTGACATTCAGCACAGCCTGTTGTTGTTGGCTCTCTCCAGATGTTTCTTCCCCCTCAGCCCACCCCATACTGCAGATGGGAGGGAGTGGAGCAGCCCCTGGAGGGATCCTCTTCCAAAGAGGGGTTGAAAGCTATTCCAGGCTCAGGGAAACTAATGGAGTGTGCAGGGCTGAGAGACATCTTGGAAATCCTCTTCTCTCTCCCTGGAAAGGCTCTGCTCAAACTCAGCAGCGTTGTGGTGGGATCAGGGGGATACTGGCACCCTGTGCTGCTCACTGGACATGGACACTGGGCAGAGAAGCCATTCCCTATGTGCTGTCCCTTCATCCATTGCCCCAGGTCCCTGCACAAATTCTGTAAACCACTGGGAGCTGTGTTTAGGAGAATGCATCAGCCCAAGGGACTTGGAGAAGCTCAGAGGAGGGTCCAGAGGCACCTCAGAGCATGGGAAATTTCCCAGGCAGGGAAGGGTGTCTCACCCTGTGAGAAAGGAGCTCAGGGAAGTTACCATCAGTGGTTTGAAGCCACCATGAAGTCACTTGGCAGGACTGGAGTCCAGTCCCGTGAGCTGAAGGAGTTGCATTTGATGTTGGGGCTCTCCTAGCATCAAACAGCTCTGCACTGCTTGTGGTCACCACATGGGGGTTGTGCCTCCTACTCATTGAACCATCAAGGTTGGAGGAGACCTCTAAGGTCATCGAGTCCAACCATTAACTGTCACTGCTGTAACCCCTAAACCCTAAACCATCCCCTCCAGTGCCATAAAGTTTTCCAATCCAATAATGAGTTCTCCAATGTGTTTCCCACCTCCACAGGTTGCTTTTCGCCTGGATTTTGAGTTCAGCAAGTGGATTTTCCTGCAGAGTATGGAGGTCTACATGATTGCCAACAGGTCAGTGGTTGCTTTGTTCCTCACACATCTCTGTGAGGGTGATAGGATCAGAGAATCATGGAATGATTTGGGTTGGAAGCACCTTAAAGCTCAGCTCGTTTCACACCCATGGACAGGGACACATTCCACCAGCCCAAGCTGCTCCAAGCCCCATCCAACCTGGCCTAGAACACTCCCAGGGATGGAGCAGTCATAGCTTTTCTGAGATGCTTCCTGCTTGCCATTATCTCATCTGTCCCTGTCCTCTGGCAGTTTGAAGCCATTCCCTGTGTCCTGTCCCTCCAGGCCTTGTCCCAAGTCCCTCTGCAGCTCTCTTGGAGCCCCTTTAGGCACTGGAAGGGGCTCTGAGGTCTCCCTGGAGCTTCTCTTCTCCAGGCTGGACACCCCCAGCTCTCCCAGCCTGGCTCCGTGGCAGAGACTCCAGCATCATGGAATGGTTTGTATGGGAAGGGACTGGGAAGATCACCTCATCCCACCCCCTGACATGGGCAGGGACACATTCCATCAGCCTCAGTTGCTCCAAGTGCCATCCAACATGGCCTGGGAACACTCCAAGGGATGAAGCAGTCACAGCTTTTCTGAGATGCTTCCTGAGAACTGAACAGATTGCCCAGAGATATCCAGATCCATGTGGACACAAACCTGAGCCCTGGGCTCTGGGCTGGCCCTGCCTGAGCAGGGAGGTGGGACCAGTGACCCACTGTGGTCCCTTCCAGCCTAACTGTGACTCTGAAATAATCTACATTTATGGCATTGAGCTAATAAACCCATAGAATAAAACTACTTCTCTTTCCACTTTGAGCCTTTCCTCACCTACCAGAGAGGAACAGGCTCCTCCCTCACCCCCTCTTGCCCCATTGCTGTTTCAGTGACAGTGAGGAGAAGGAGAGCACCATGGAGGACAACTTTGCCCACCTCAACTACCACCTGAAATATGAAGCTGATCTGCTCTTCACCAGGTGTGTTTTGAGGGGAATTCAATTCCTGGAGGACACAGATTTCAGGGTGTTCCTTGCTGAACCCATGGGAGATGTGTCCAAAGCAAATTGAGGTTTAATTTGGGGGGAATTTTCTTCCAAAAGAGGCTGAAGGACCCATAAAATCAAGACCTGATGGTGTCCTTATCAACATCACCAAGGAGCTCTCATAACGTTTGGAGGCACAAAAGTGATTAAAGAGGTGTGAAGGCAATTTTTTACAGGGTAAAAAAAAAAAAAAGACTTAATGGAGGTCATAATGTTCCTAACAGGTGTTTCTAGTGTCTGGGCCAGTTGCCATCCCACTAAATCCAGCTCAGTGAGGGACTGGTGTGGAATGAGCAGTAACTAGAGCATCCTCAGACTGGAGAGAGAGGTGAAGGCATAGATAATTGATTAACCTGATGAGAGGAAAACTCCTGGACCCCAGAAGCAAATTCCTTGGCATCTTGATAGAATTCTTAGGAGATTTTTGAGGCCTTAAGTCATTTGATGTATTTTACACTAAGGTGCTAAAATAAAACCACTTTAATGTCAGGATTTATGAGGATTGTCCAGTTAATAAACAGCAGAATCTTCTATGGGAGAAGGGGAAAATTGAAGGGAAAGAACAGCAGGAAAATGAGCAAATTTGGGATTTTGGGGGGGTGAAAAGAGAAGGAATTGTAAAGGATTTGGGGGTTTGGGGCCATGGCATGACATGAGATATCACAGGTGTTCCCATGGGACACATCAGGTGTTCCTGGCTCCTTTCCCTCCTCTCCAGCAGCAAACCAGAGGTGTGATTTACCTCCTGTGATCTACATGTGACACTCAAACCTCCAGCCAAGGCCTTGGATGTCTCTGCTAGATTCCAAAGGCCAAAAAACCCTACAAAGAAAAGGAAAGAAGGATGAAAATCCCCTTTTTTCTGCATGTGGAGTCAGGTGATGGATTCCATCTGATATGGAGCCAGATGGACCTCAAGTCCTGCCTGTGGAGGGGCTGGAGCTGCCTGAGTGGGTGTTGAGGTGCTTCATGCTCTGTTGGCTTCCATCCCACCTCATTGCTTGTCATCCTTTGTCACAACAGGACATCAAGCCTGGACTACTATGAAATCAGGTCCAACAGCTCCTTGGAGAGATATGACAGCATTGGTCCTCCTTTCCATTGCATCTTCAAGGTGAGGAGAAGCTTCCTGGAAGTCTTGAGAGGCTTGGGGGGCTAGAAGGTCCCTGAGGGACCCTCCAAGTGCCATGCTGGAGGCAGCATGTACCATGGTCATCCCATGGGATACCTTGGGCACATCCCTGTCCTCTTTCTCACAGCTGCAGAACCTTGGATTCTTCCCTGTGGAGGGGGTGACCATCAAGCTTACCATCCCTGTGGCCACCAGGGCAGGCAACCGTCTCCTGCTTCTGACTGACTTTCTGGTGGATCAGGTAGGATGGGATTCCATTCCCAATGTGTGGGTGAGGTGGTGATGGCATGGAGACACCTCATGGAAGGTCTCCACCTCCTTTAGCATCCCCACTATGGTCACACCTGCATGGACAACCTTGGCTCCTGCCTGGGCTCATTCCGTTGGCTGGAAACATGGAAGATGGTAGTGGCCAAAGGGTTCAATCCAAATATCTCTCCAGGCTGGACCTTCCTGCAGTGTGCAATGAATTCCTGAGGGTCTGGGAAGCATTGGGTGTGTCTGGGGTGAACTGTAGGTTTGAGTGAGCATTGAAGGAGTTTAAGGATTTGGAGCAGATCCTGGGGCATCCCAAGTCCATGGGAAGAGCCTCGGATAGGAGACATTGTGTTTATGCATGAATTTGGCCTTGGTGGAAGCAATTTGTGCTGCAGCTCTGGCACAGTTCCCCTGTCACCAGTGACATCCCAACACACCTGGTTGGCTTTGTCCCAGGCTGATATTCGCTGGGAAGAGTCACAAACTCCCGGAATTCATTAAAGTAGGATGCCAGAACTTCCTCTAGCCACATCCCACAGCACCCCCAGCTCAATTCTACCACCAGCAAAGCCTGGGAGATACCAGGGACACCCTCCTTCCACCCTGGGCACAGGGCATGACACAGGGACATGGTCACCATGGTCCTTGTCTCCATGCTTGGAGCTCTATTGCTTCTCCCCTAGGAAAACACAACCTGCAACATCTGGGGCAACACCACTGACTACCGGAGGACACCTGCTGAGGAGGACCTGTCCCGCACTCCACACCTGGTAGGCACCTCCATGGGGCCAATCCTGGCTCTGGATTTCCCCCAAACCAGAGAGAAATCCATGGAATAAGGATGCCCCCTGACCATGAGGGAGGATGGACATGTGGGGCTTCCAGCAGGGTCTGGTTTCACTCATAGGTTCACAGCAAGTTAAGGGGTTGGAATGGAGCTCAGAGGTCATGTAGTCCCAACCCCTGCCCTGGGCAGGGACACCTCCCACCAGAGCAGGTTGCTCAAGGCTTGATCCAAGCTGGCTTTGATCACTGCTAGGATTGGGGCAGCCACAGCCTCCCTAGGACATCCACAACCTCCTTGGGGCAGCCATAACCTGCTTGGAACATCCACACCCTCCCTGGGCAATCTGTGCCAGTGCCTCATCACCCTCAGAGGAACAACTTCTGCCTAAGATCTAACCTAAATTTCCCTCTTTCAGTTTCTCCCCATTACTCCTTGTCCTCTCACTCCAGTTCCTAACCAAGTCCCTCTGCAGCTTCCCTGGAGCCCCTTCAGCTCTTGGCAGGTTGCTCTGAGGTCTCCACACACCTTCTCTTCTCCAGGCTGAACAGCCCCAAGTCTTTCCTCAAGGAGGGTCTCCAATGCTCTGATCAGCTTTGTGGCCTCCTCTGGCCTTGCTCCACCAGTTCCATGTCCTTCTGCTGTTGGGGACACCAGAGCTGTGTGGAGAACTCCAGGTGGGATCAGAGTAGAGGGGGACAATCCCCTCCTTGGCCCTGCTGGCTGCAGCCCAGGACTCAGTTGGCTTTCACTCCCCTCAGTGTGTGCCAGGGATGAATTCCAGAGGGTTTTTTTCCCCCTCCTCACTCCCCAACCCTCTCCCCTGGCAGAACCACAGCAACTCTGACATTGTTTCCATCGACTGTAACGTGAAATTAGCCCCCAACGAGGAGATGAACTTGCACTTGCACGGCAATCTGTGGATGAAGTCTCTGAAAGCAGTAAGTCCTCCCACAGTAGACACATAGATTTGGAGGAGAATCCTCCAAAGAAGCCTTCACACCCCAAAAATGTGCTTGGCTTCTTCCCCTCACCTATAATTCCTTCCCTCCTAGAAAGCCCAAGATTCTGTGGGGTGATATTAGTTTCCAAACCTCACTCAACACCTTATCATGGGGGGTTTAATCCCATAGCCAATTAATTAATGCAAATTTAATCCATTTGATAAGTCCTTTTTGGCCTTTAGCCACATGTCCTGCTTGACCTGCATCATCATCCTCCTGTGCACCCAACACCCCTGATGGATCCAAAGCCATGGGGGGAGCAAAGCCAGGGAGAGAGGCACCAAGTTGGGGTGCTGGGGGCACCTAATTGAGGTGATGGGTCTTCTCCTATATGTGGTGCTCACCGCCAACCTCTCTCCTTGTGCAGCTGAAGTTCAAGTCACTGAAGCTGACCACGAACGCTGCTCTGCAGCGACGCTTCGGGAGCGCTTTTGTCTTCCGAGAGGAGGATCCCAGTCGCCAGGTGAGCCCCAGCAGGATGGTCACACATGGATCCAGAGGTTTGGGAATGCTGTAACACCCTGCTTCGATCCCACTAGGACAAACCCTGTGCTTGGCACAAGGGATGGAGTGATCCATGCTGGGCACAGAGCCTGGAGAACTTCAGTGCAGTTGTGGACTGCAGTCCTGGAAGCAATGGATTCAACAGGGGAAATGTCAGCATTGCCAAAGGATGGGGTGCTCAGTGTCCCCACACTGTACCCCTGGCCGTGTGGCCCTGCCCAGCAGCTGTGCTGTGTCTTGGTGCTCTTGATTTGTTCATCTGCCTGAGCTCTACAGACCCATCCATGGATCTGACACTGGAGGATACTGTTTAGGGTTTAGGGGCTTCAGCAATATCAGGTCTGGGGGAAATGTCAGCATTGCCAAAGGATGGGGTGCTCAGTGTCCCCACACTGTACCCCTGGCCGTGTGGCCCTGCCCAGCAGCTGTGCTGTGTCTTGGTGCTCTTGATTTGTTCATCTGCCTGAGCTCTACAGACCCATCCATGGATCTGACACTGGAGGATACTGTTTAGGGTTTAGGGGCTTCAGCAATATCAGGTCTGTGATGATTCTACAGACCCATCCATGGATCTGACACTGGAGGATACTGTTTAGGGTTTAGGGGCTTCAGCAATATCAGGTCTGGGACTTGATGATCTTAAGAGGTCTCCTCCAGCCTTGATGACTTTATGGTTCCATGATATGACCCAGATGGACCTGCTCTGGATTGTGGCCACCTCCACCAGGGCCAACAGGTCAGGCACTGGGATATTGCCCAGGGAGGTGGTGGAGTCACCATCCCTGGAGGTGTTTAAGAGGTGTCTGGATGTGGCACTGGAGGATCTGGTTTCGGGTTTAGGGGTTACAGCTGTGACAGGGTAATGGTTGGATTTAATTATCTGAGGTCTCCTCCAACCCTGATGATTCTCTGATTCACTCCTCACAGATCACATTTGAGATCTCCAAGCCAGAGGAGTCACATATCCCCATCTGGATTATCCTGGGGAGCACCTTAGGAGGTCTCCTACTCCTGGCCCTGCTCGTCCTTGCACTCTGGAAGGTGAGAAATCCTTCAGCTGCGTGTGTTGGAGTTTTAGAGGAGATCCCCACACATGGAGGGACTTCTTGGCCCCACAGCTCCATGCCCACATCCCCACAAACCCCTCAGCACCACCAGGACTCACCAAGAGCTCCTTCAGTCTCTTTGCTCTCCCATTTATAGTCAGGGTCTAAACCTCCAGGACATATCCTCTGAAAGCAAAGTCACTTCCCAGCAATTTGCTGATGTAACAAGGTTTTGTTCTCTTCCACCCCTACAGCTTGGATTCTTCAAGAGTGGGAGCCGCAGGCGAGTGGAGGAGCAGGAGCAGAATTCCATGGGGCTGGAGTGATGCTACCAGGGCCAGGTGCCCCCAGTGTCCCCTCCTAACCCCTCACCAGCTCTGGAGCAGAGGTTCAACCTTTGGGTGAACCCAAGGGATTTGGGTGCTGAGCTTGATGAGAGAACACTCCTTTGCGTGCCATCACCTCAACAGCTCCAAAAGCCACCAAACCACCCTGAAACATCCCCAAACCCCCAAGCCGTGGCAGGAGGAGCTTCAAAGTTGGTCTGCAATGAGGTGGCAACAAGGTGGGGACAAGGGGCCACCAAAGCGACGTGTCCTGCAACGTGGGGCAAACCACAGGGCTGCAAACTAAGTAATATGCCTAAAAAAACAAGAGGATTGCTCATTCCCAAGGCAGGGCTGGAGCAAATCCTGAGCTTTGCTGGCTGTGGCTCCCAAACTGCCTTCATTGAGTGGAGTACTTAGGTGGAGATCTCATTTGCTGCCTTCTTAATGCACTGACTGAAATGCTAACGACTCAAAGCACCTTAATGCAAGTCTCCAGCTGTATATAATCATTCCAAAAGGATTTACCTGGTGAAGCAAAGGAGAAATGGGATTGAAAATGATACAAAAATAAAGGATTAAAAAGCAGTTTGAAGGGTTTTCTCCCAGCAAAGCAGTTTGGGAGAGCTCCTGGCCAGCAAGGACCTTACACCTGTATCATACCTGTACATAACTAGTGTCATGCAAAACTGGTTGATCAGTGGCCAGAAAAACCTTTTGGCATAGCAGAATTATTTATGCTAATGTTAATTTTATGGATGTAAAGGAAGCCTGTGGCTGCTGGAGATGTGGAATAGAGGGTGTTAAATACTGTCCTGCTATTTTGGAAGGAGTAAAACTACAGTATTTGGAAAATTCATGGTGTCTATTCCCCTTTGTGGCAATGTCCAGGGCTTGGCTGGGTACAAGGGGGATGCTCTCAGTAGTGTCACCACCAAAGCACCATGGTTTGAGTGCAGCTGACCCAAAGAGAGCTGCTCATTGCCTACACCAGCTGCCCCATGTGCTGGTGCTGAGGCTCTGGGCATGGGGCTGAGCAGCATTACCTCCACAGCAATGCCAAAGCCTATGGAATAAGTGCAAACTGGCTTTTCAGGCAGCTCCATGATGCCAGGACCACTTAGGACACCAGTGTTTGAGTTCTGACCCAGAGACAGCTGCTCCTCACCTACACTTGTCACAGGCTTTGGCATTGCCCCATGTGCTGGTGCTGAGGCTCTGGCATGGAGCTGTGCAGCATTTACCTCCACAGCAATGCCAAAGCCTATGGAATAAGTGAAAAACTCAGATTTTCAGGCAGCTGTGTGATGCCAGGACCACTTAGGCCCCCTGTGGCCATGGAATGCCCAGGCTTTGTTTGAGTGCATCTGACTCAAGAGATGCCATGGCACAGCATCCCTGAGCCAGAGGGACCGAGATGCCAACGCCTGGCCCAGCTTCCTGCCCAGCGTGGGTTGCCCTGGGCTGGGTTTATTTTTACAAACCAATCTGCTCTCCCAGAGCAGCTCCAGAGCTGAGACAGCTCTATAAATAACAGTTCCCACCCCCAGGCGCACACACGCCTCGGCCTGGCACAGAGAATGGCACTCCACTGCTTTTCCCAGGGAAAGGAGCACCTGGGGGGACTGTGAGGAATGTTACCAGGAGCTTTAAACAGCTCCCACAAACAGCGAGGACAATCTTGCAGCTTTTAGTGCTTGGAATGGTCCAGATTAAGGAGAGGGAAGGACTTGAGGGGTATGATGGACTTTGCTGTGCCTGTAGGTGTGGAGGAAGAGACATCCACAGGGATTCCCTATCCTTTGGCCACGACCTATTGCTGTCACAGGGAAGGTGACA